TTTATATCCACCAGAACAATAGGCCACTGTAAGTGTAAACTTGCCTAGTATTTTGTTGACAAGTCCCTCCTCCACCAGCTGTGAGGTGAAGGTCTGTATGAGGTGAGCTAAGTCGGAGGGCATGCCCAGTGTCCAAGTCCGCCCTTCTCGAGACTGAAGGAGTATGCGGAGAGAGTTGACTAAGCTTCTACGCCCATCGTAGTAAAGAATGACTGCCACCAAACCCCGAGTCAGGCCAGGGTAATTAGGCAGCTGGTTCTCACCTGAATAAAATAAAACACACAAAAAAATCATCCTGATTGAGCAAGTTTAGTTTTATGCCACTTCAAGCAATATTCCAGCAGTACCTGGGGTCACCAGACCTGGGCTACACACATTGTACCCATGTGGGGAATCAAAACCTGGCCTTTAGGAGTGACGAGCAAACATTTTAAGCATTAGGCTCCCGCACCGCCCCTTATCCTGCAAGTCTTTTCAGACATCCTGTATAGAAACATTCTGCAATGGATCACATTCAGCTTTCTTCAGATTCACTAGATTTCATAGGTAGAAAAAATTGTACTGCTCAGCTATAAGAGTCAGTGAGTGAGTGAATGAGGTGGGTTTTACCCTGTTTTTAGCAATATTCCAACAATATCGTGGCGGGGTACACCAGAAATGGGCTTCACACATTGTTACCACGTGGGGTATCGAACCCGGGCCTTCGGCATGACGAGCAAACGCTTTAACCAGTCCTAAATACTCACCAGCCATAAGAAGCTCCATGGCGGCCAGTTCATTCAGCTGAAACAGGTCACTGAGGATGAGGGTCTCTGTTACAAACTGCTGTGAGAAGGTTTGACTCCTCTGTTCTCCCTGAACTGGAATTCCCTCTGTGGTCGACTTCTTGACAGCTTCACGGTGAAGGTTGTTCTTGGCCTGTGACATTGATATCAAAGACCTTAGTAATGAACGTTTCACTGCCACTCCAATGCAGTGTTCATTCTGGAGAATGTCATCGATACTGCAACCCATGTGCAGCAGTATGGTGCATGGTTTACAATTCAAAAGAAATAAAAATTCAAGATAATCCAACATGTATGCTCTCATTAGAATTTTTAAACACACACAATTTTATGAATAGAGTGAGTGAGTATGGTTTTACACCACTTTTCACAATATTCCAGCAATATCATGGCAGGGTACACCAGAAATGAGCTTCACACAATGTGCCCATGTGGGAAATCGAACCTGGGCCTACTGGCGTGACGACCCAGTGCTTTAACCACTAGGCCACCCACTGCCCCTTTATGAAATGAACACCAGTCATGAATCAACAGACAAGGAAATCAGGGTTGAATATAACATGTAAAACATCTCCATGATTTCTTTAACAAAATATTATAATACATATTTATACTTACTGGAGTTTTGAGAAGTGAAATAAAGTCTGGTTTATGTTTCCGTAATGCCAGTTCAAGGTCATGAATAGAGTTTGGTCGGCGCTTGTAGATGGCGGCATCAACAACATCATATAATGCTTTAAATGGGCCCCACAAACGGGCACCTAAAAACACAACAGGCAAAATACACCACAGTTACACAAAAATACACCATAGTTACACAATAAATGGCTACGAGTATGAGTGGAAACAAAACATGAACTATGTCCATGATGTCCAACTCTGTGTCTAATACAGTTCTTCTGTCCACTACAAACAAAACTTTCAGTCTTCAGCATGTTCAGGGTTGTTAATGTCATTGTGTATATAACATGTTTTGACACCGACACTGGTCTGTTGGCTGTATGTAACAAACTCAAACAAATTTTCTCAGCCTAATTGATTTTATCCCTTACATATACAAAATGCTTGTGTACAATTAATGTCTGATAAAGTGTAAAAAGCATTCACTGTGTTTGCATTCTTGGATTTGTAAGGCCTTCCTAGAAAGAAATAAACACAGCAAGCCATTTTGGGCTGTTGGTATACAGATAGAATGTGCAATTTCAGTACTTCAGATATCTATAAATCATTGTATAGAATGTGATTATGGTATACACGATAACCAGCTGTCTGTCTATTTATAATAAGGTAAAAATACTATTAGTAGATAAAATGTCAATTACTGTGTATGGACATATGAGCTGCTTTTGGGGTGGAAGGCATATTTTGTTGTTAATCAAGTTAATGTGTCTAATTACTGTCTTCATCTTTATATTTTTATTTGTTTGTTCAACCATATTACACCTATATGACACCAGTCTGTAAATAAGAGTCTGGACAAAATCCAGTGATTGACATTATGAGCACCGATCTATGAAACTGAGATATGACATGCATTAACCAAGTCATTAAGACTGACCACCTGACCCTGTGAGTCGCCTTGAATGAGTTCCAGGTTGCTTTTCACATGTGGTGTCTTTGTAAGTGTCAATAGAAGACACATGGATTGAAATAAATTTTAGGCATTGAAAATGATATGATAACCTTCCTAGCAATAACTACACAGTGCTGAAACAACACAGGAACCTCTGGTCCAATCAGCACGATCAGGCTATTTCATTCGAATCTCAACATTCTTGACTTACCATAAATTATTTCATGAGTTCATTGATGTGATCACTCAGTATAAAAGATGTTCATTAGCGAATCCACAACATATTTAGTATATGTTAAGCCTTTTGACATGCACTGCATTTGAAAACATATTCTTCGGTTTCGGAATATGTTGAACTGCTTTTACGACCAAAATCAATTGGTTGTAAAGTAAATCAAAACAGAATAGGATACTTAACATTTTTCATGTAGTTTCAATAGATAGTGTCGTTGCAAAAGAAACAACTCACATTTGAAGCAGTAAAACATATAAAATATTTAAAGTGTAGATTTGTCTCATGGAATTTCGATTTTGGTACATCAGCGTTACAAAGACATCTACAGACCGAGACAGTAATACTGCTCAGAATATATTCAAAATTAAAAGGGAAACAAGAAGATAATGAACTATAACCACGCCAGTAAGTGTTTATTTAAACTGTTTAGGTGTAAACAATTAGGTCTTCGAGGTGGCTGAAGCGGTATTGTATGCAGAGTAAATCTGCATTGTATTTTATTAAATATTCCTATATTTTATTAGTAATACGTGATTTTTCAAACGCTTACCCGAATTTACCGCCATGCCTAATGCCGCCATGATGGAAGCACCTACTCTTCCGGTGAGATAACTCGTGAAATCTAAGAAACATACCACCAACAATTTCTTTCCTTGAACACAAACCCCTGAGATCTATTTCTCGTTTAGGTTTTTTGTTTTGTTTTTGTTGGGTTTTTTGTTGTTGTTTTTGGGGGTTTTGTTTGTTTGTTTGGGTTTGGTTGTTTTGTTGTTTGGTTTTTGTTCGTTTGTTGTTGTTTTATTGTTCGTTTGTTTTGTTTTTGTTTTGTTTTGTTTTGTTTTTTTGTTTGGGTTTGTTTTTGTTTGTTGTTTTTGTTTTTTTGGGGGCTGTTATTTGGTTATTTGTTTGTTTGATTGTTTGGGGGTTGGGGGTAGTTGTGGCGATTGTCCTCTTCAATGCTACATCAGATTTCAGTCAGATAAAGAAGACTATTTTAATACAATCTTTCAGAAAAATATCGGAACACCAATTTAACAAATAATAACCAAATTATAGCGAGTGAGTTAAGTTTTATGTCGTACTCAGAAATATTTCAACTATATGGCGGCGGTCTGTAAACAATCCAGTGATCAACAGCATGAGCATCGATCTACGCAATGTTGGGATACGATGACATGTGTCAACCAAGTCAGCCAGCCTGACCACCCGATCCCGTTAGTCGCCTCTTACGACAAGCATGGACTACTGAAGATCAGTTCTTACCAGGATCTTCACGGGTAACACAAGTATAGGCACTAGTCATTGCATGGTAAGAAAGAGATCGTACCATTCTAATATGCACTCGGATTTCCTTTTAATAACTTGTATTATCATGATTTAAAACACTAAAAATCTCTGAATATTGCCGACAAGACAGACGAGTTGATTTTTACTCCTTTCATTCTTTGAACATAACCTCTGGTTACTGGTACTATAGCAGCCTATAAAGCAAGAAATCAACAAATGAACGTGTCGGGTGAAAAAGGACATACTGGATTGGGTATAAAACCACATCAAAACCTTCGGTACAACAATCACTGCATGTACGTTTCTGTAATATGGGTCATGATAAAAATCTCTAGAACCAAAACTTCGCCAGCCAATTTAGAGAAAACGGTTCCGTGTATTAATAGCTATTATATTTGTTTGTTCTTGTTTTTCAATGACAATAACTGAAGTAGCAGAAACCATTTCATATAAAAAGTCATAGATGTTTAGACAAATACACATACAACAGGGCAACTTCTGGGGAAGTGTTTTGGTTTCTCTGAAGTTTGGGGCCATTTTCTCCAAATTGCCTGTGAACATTTCTGCAAAGAGCCATTTTCTCCTGTCAACATTTATACCACATCTTCAAGTTGCCAACTAATGACATTTCAGTATGACACACACATTTCAATGTGAATAATGAAGTTCCAGTGTTTGGAAATAGCTAATTCAAAGTTAAATTCAACGATTCTTGAAATATGTATTTGTTGTTCAAACGACCTCATGCCAGAACAACCGTAATATATGCCAAAATGACCATACAGTCCACATGATCCCAAAGCGACATAACGACCACAGGTTTAAAGTCGAAATATGTATTAATATAATTAATCATTATTACACAATGAAGGTCCAGTGACTCAGAAAAATATGTGACTGCGTACATATTGGAGGTAGTTACTGTAATCTTCACCTGTTGTTCATTAGACACGGCAAGTTATATAACCGATAATAGCAACATAGCTCAATCTCGTTAACCTATGCACAGTAAATATTTTACAGGCGCTTTTGTGACTATCTATATTTAGAAACAGGGAATACCTCGTTTTCGAGCATAAAATGTCGATCCCACAATGCAACATTGTACATTCTTCAGGATCTCAAAATGGCGACTACTGACAGTGAGATGCCGGACTATGAAAAGAAGGGAGATTCGGAAGATGTTAAAGTAAAAATTATATGCCTCGGTGACAGCGCAGTTGGAAAGTCCAAGTACTGTTTCGTTCATTTCATGGATTTTACTTTATTTAGTGGAATAGTTTGTGAAAGTCTAATGACAGGTCTGCTGTATTCCATTTGTCCTATTTTCGAGCACATGTTTATGAGATGTATCTTGAATTAACAAAAACATTTATGGGAACTATGATAGGTGGTAGACACATCTATTGAAAGAATGCATTTCTTCACAGTTATTTATAGTATGATGCAAATATTTTGTTGAAGTAGTGGGTGAAATCTGAACGTGAAAGATAAATGTATCATAGGTTGCTAGGCAACTTTTTAAATCGTCCATTTTGTTCATGACTACGTTTGAGGCATGAATATCCAGCACTTACATTTGTCATTTAGGTTCACCTAGAGGATCCATATTTTAAAAAAAAAAAGATAGCATATTCAGATGAGAAAAAAATTAATACCACAGTTTATTCTTGATATGTGTCCATTCCACAAATCAATTGTAGGGCCACATGATGGACAAATTATACAGCAAGACTGTACCTTACTGGCCTGTACTAATGTAGTCAATGGTAGTAGAGCTATATCTTTAAATAACTCATGTTTCACAGATCTAACATGCCTGTTCAATCATTTGGACCAGATATGTTTGCATGGTTGGGGTTGACTTCAACACAATCTTAGTTTTCGCTAGATACTCCTTTACATTCAAAAATCCTGTAAGGTAAGCATGGTAAGGAACAGATTTCTGCTATTTAAGGAATACAGTTCGCTCTATCCCCATGTATAGTGTAAAAAAGTACACTTTTACTCAGAACTATTTATTATAGTTAAAGTACAAGGATACTTGCATCCGAGTGCTTTAATGTTATAATAGTTTGAAGCTAAATTTAATACTTATCGATGATAAATCTAAGGCAGAAAACAAACAGAAAAATGACAGTTTCGGTGACCTGAACTGACTAGCTGTTCTTTTGACGTGACATTTTGATGTTAGCCAAGTGGAGCAACTGCAAACCAAGAAATGGTTGTGCTACGGAGCAGTTTACCGTAGGAGACTGTACGAGGTGATGACAACTGACATGCATAGTGATGTCAGTTACCAAGGGTATGTTTGATAACGAGGACAGGGGTTGAAAATCTTTTCAAAACTCCACTGGATACAGGTCCAGTAAACTCTCAAAATCCTCTTGACCAAATATTAATTTCACTTGACCACAATTAACAATTTGGTTTCTTTTGCAAGTAATCTTTATTAACTGGTAGCAATTGCATTTTTATTTCATCATCAAAATATAGATATGAAAACTTTTCAGTAGTTTGGCACTACTGTACCACAGTAAAGTTTCATGTGGATATCTGCTTGACCGACCGGAGGATTCCACTTGACCCAGGGCGTCAGGCAATGGTATTTTTAATCCCTGGAGGGGGCAGATGAGAATGGCATAGTGACATCAATACAGTGTAAAGTCATGCAAAAAGTGTATTTTATCGCCTGATAAAGTACTGTCGGCGCCTTTGATCTTTTAGCAAAGCGTCTTAGAATTAGGGTTAGTTACAAGTTGGGTTGAGCTCTCATCCCATTTAATCAAGACTGGATTTGATAGGTTTTATGGGAAAAGGTTACTACCACTTATGCAAATATGATTATATATTTGTGTGCATACAGGTTAATCATGTTATTCATGTTATTCTTAAAACTTGTGCCAGTGAACCTAGGTAAAATGAAGTACTACTTTAGTGTACTTCAGCTGGCATTTCAGGAACGAGTATCATGTAAAGTTAGTCTTCATAATAAGTTTGTTACAGTTATCCCCACTCTGAATGACTGTTATATTTATTACTGTTGTCATCATTGTAACTTTTCTTTCTTTTTAAGGTTGGTTGAGCGTTTCCTGATGGATGGATAGTATCCTTTCTTGCATGATTGCAGTAAAACTTGCCTGTTACCAAGACTGTTGTATTAACAGATGAGTCATGATCGTTGGCCTACAAGTTCCAAACTATTTAACTATTATTGAATAACAGAGACAGCTAGTAGGGAAGTTCTTTTAAATAAAAGTCCTTGATAAAAGCCAAGCCCCCAAATGTATTTTGGTGTGATCTTCTGTATTTTTGTTTGACAGTTTAGTTTTCGTTTATCATTTTTATCGATTTGTATAATGTGATCCCACAAGACCTGAAGGAATTTGACCTGACTCGGGCTGCGACTAGTAGCTAAAGTAACAACCTGTTATTAGAAAAATCCTTATATGACTGTTCCAAAACAAGCTAATGACTATGTGGATACAAACATGTGGTTTATCTCTCCTGCCCCATATTTATGTAGAAACATGGTACATTTATAGTTTCTATGTAGAATATATGACTATATGATCTATGCATCCTTGACTGTCAACCAGCAAACCACAGCAGCTGTCAACATATGCTTTAACCTTGTTCAACCATAAAACTGAGCTGAATGGGAAACAAATATCTGTCGGTAAGTTACAATAATTATATACACTAGTATTAATACTTAGAAATTTGGATGAAACTGTATTTTCAGTGGTTCGTGTTTGAAATAGTTGTAACATGCATTCCCATTTGGATCACACTTCACATTGACGGTGGTCAGTATGTTAATTTGGCATCTAACATCTGACGCAAACAGTATTCTCAATCAAATGTTTGAATAGGGCAGTGTGGTAGCTTAGTGGTTAAAACATTTGTTCGTCATGCCAAAGGCCAGGGTTCGATTCCAGACAGGGGGACAATGTGTGAAGTCCATTTCTGGTGACCTCCTGCCATGATTTTGCTAGAATATTGCTGAAACATGTTCACTCACTCACATTAGGATAAGTGCTGATAATTTCAGACAGGGAAACTGCAAGGCTTCATTATTTTGGTTTACTGAAAAACTATGTTCTATGTTGTCTTGCATCTTTCCATCATATGGGATATGGATGATCCAATATTTGCTATGCAGAGTTGTGTCCCTTGGGTTTGTCGACTGCATGCCCTTGCTTTAAGGTAACCTGCTAGTAATGTTTTCAAAATACTGAATACAGTGGAACCTGCCAACACTGGCACCTGTCTAATCCAGCACACTGTCAATACCGGCATAAAATTTTGGTCCCGCCATTTTACATTATATTAATTTTTAAACTAATCCTATCTCACGGTATGCACCATCTCTCTCTTCTACGACCATGTGTGGAAACGTGCTGTCAGCTAAGTTGAGTAAAATCTAACTGGCATCTGACCCGCCCTGACCTCTGCCCTCACCCCAACATCAACGCCTGTCAATCATCCACCAAAGCGTGCGGCTCGCCTAAACGATCACATGACCACCTCTACTTGTCATTCTCTTTCTTGTCGCCACGTTGTGTGGACGTGTGTTTGTCTATAAGAGAGTTTGATTGTGTTTCTACAATGGGAAAATCGAATCGTTATGGTTCTAATAAACACAAACATTGCGATAACTGCAATAGTTATTTCTCGGCGGCAGACCCACATAACCTATGTGTTGACTGTTTAGGCCGATGTGAATGGTCTAGACATTGCACTTTGTGTGCAAACTGTGACGACAATGCGTTTTCCGAAGTCACCGGGTAGCTTGTAGATGCAAGTTTGACAGAGATTGTCGGAATCCATCTGAGGGTCTGAGTAGAAACGTCCTAAGTTAGACCACCGTTTGATATCTGCAGTACGACGTTCGAAGTCGAAGTCTCCTAATGAAGATTTCTTAGAGAGGCGTCTGATTCCTACCTCAGTGAAAATCTGCGTCAACTCTTCCGTCCGCATTCTTATAGCCTCATTACTCTAGAAGATTCTTCACCACCACGAGTTGTTGTGTTATCTACGTCTGGTATTCAATCCCTGCCGTCTTTGGTGGTGAATGTTCCTCAGCGCCTTCACGTTTCGGAGGTGGGGACTACTCATGCAGCTCTTATTGTGATTCCTGACATTACATCACAAGTGACGTTTACTTCCAGTTCGACGCTTACATCAGGAGTTACCTACGTTTAGAGCGCCGCTTGTCACTGATTCCACGTGTTTGCTCAGAGCGCCGCTTACTTCTAGTTCGGCGCTTTCTACCAGTGCGACGCTTACTTTTGAAGAGACGCTTACATCAGGACAGTTATCTACGATTAGAGCGCCGCTTGTCACGGATCCCACGTGTTTGGTCAGAGCGCCACTTACTTCCAGTTCGGCGCTTTTCTACCAGTGCGCCGCTTACTTTTCAAGCTACGCTTACATCAGGACAGTTATCTACGATTAGAGTACCGATTGTCACGGATCCCATATGTTTGGTCAGAGCGCCGAACTGGAAGTTCGGTTAGGCGCTTGTGCCTGGTTCAGCGCTTCCTCCCAGTGTTCCTGGTTCGGTGCTTCTCCCAGTGTTCCTGGTTCGGCGCTTCCTCCCAGTGTTCCTGGTTCGCCGCTTACTGTCGGTTCAGCGCTTACTCCCAGTTCGGCGCTTCCTCCCAGTGTTCCTGGTTCCGCGCTTCTCCCAGTGTTCCTGGTTCGCTTCTCCCAGTGTTCCTGGTTCGGCTTCTTCCTCTTTCCTCGGTGTTACTGGCTTGGCGCTTCCTCCTGGAGCTCACAGTTCGGCGTTTCCTCCTGGACTCCCGGTTCGGCGCTTACTCATATTGACTTTGGGTCGGCGCTTGCTCCCGGTGTTCCCCGTTCCCCGGTGCTTTTAGTTCAGCACTCACTCACAGTCTTCCTTGTTCAACGCTTACCTACAGTATTACCGGTTCAACGCTTACTCCTGGGGTTCCTGGTTCGACGCTCACTCATGGTGCTCCAGGTTCAGCGCTTACTCATGGTGTTCCCGGTTCGGTGCTGCCTCTTAGTTCACTGGCTTCAGTATTCCTCAGGTTTCAGCGCTTACTGCCAGGTGTCGACTTCGGCGCTATGTCCACTCAGTCCAATTCTGGACTTCAAAGCACGGGATCCAACGTCTAGGCTTTCTGTTTAGTTCCCAACAACGTGATATTATCATCCACTGGAACTCACTCTGTGAGGTTTTTGCAGAATTTTTGTCCTAAAAATAAAAAAGTTGTTTAACAAACTATCATTAAAATATTGACACAGTTCACTATTTGTTACGAGGGAGGAGTGCAGAGAAAGGGACAGCCAGGTGTTCGAGAACGGATGGAGACAGCACAGCACAGATTAATGAATAAATACCCAGATAGCATTCAGACGTTGGCCCAATATTTTAATGATAGTTTGTTAAACAACTTTTTTATTTTTAGGACAAAAATTCTGCAAAAACCTCACAGAGTGGGTATGATGTTTTGATTATGATCAGCGTTTCATTGAGTATGTTATGTTTATTAGTTTTCGAGTTAGATTGCAATTCATCGGTCCGCTTTTGAGCCAACGGACTATAGGTCATGCTTATAAATATATCAGAGTCGGGCGCCTATGTTCGAAGCTTACATCGACGACTGTATTCAGGCACAGAACGATCATGCCCTTTTGCTTCGTCACATGCAGTTTGCGATACAGCTTCTTCGCCAATTAGGCTGGTTAATCAATCTGCAGAATCGAAACTAGTCCCTACCCGCCGACTTCAATTCATTGGAGCAGTGTTTGACACAGAGGTCAACAAACTGTTTGTCCCGAGGGATCGTTTCTGCAAGATACAGCGGTTTGTTTTCCTGGTACCATTGCAACCTAGGACGCTTCGGCAATGACAGGAGCTCCTGGGCCTTTTGACGTCTGTTCAGGCATTGACCCTCAGGGGTCAACTACAACTTCGTCCCTTACACCTTTTTGTGGCAACTTACATCACAGTGGGAGATCCCGGTGCTCTGATCCCTCTACCTCTGGAGCTCCATCCTCATCTTCAGTAATGGATGGAAGAATTGAACGTTTGCAAAGGAGTCTGTTTAGAGCCGTTTGTTCTGTCTCACCACCTGTATGTGGATGTGTCTCAACACAGGTGGGGAGCTCATCTTCTCAATCAACAAGTGGCAGTGCTTGGTCTATCATAGATCGCGCCTGTCACATCAACATTCTGGAGTTCAGGGCGGTCATTTTGGCAATCAGTCACTGGCAGGATGTCCTACGAGCAACTTTCCTCATGGTTAGATCGGACAACGCAGTAATGGTTTGGCATATCAACAGAATGGGGTCAACGGAGTCTCCACAGCTTCTACAGTGGACTCAACAGTTCTTGGATCTGGTCGACTTTCTGAACATCATGGTACGAGCCAACCACATTCCGGGGGTGAAGAATGTCATCGCAGATGCCCTGTCCTGACCGAGTCGTCCTTCTCCAACGGAATGGAAATTACATCCTCAGGTGTTTCAGACCTTCTGCCTTCCAATGACTTCTCCGACAGTAGACCTCTTCGCCACGAGGTTCAACCATCAGCTGCTTTGGTTTGTGTCACAGATATCGGGCCTTTTGGCTTGGGACCTCGATGCTCTAGCCTTCCCGTGGGAAGACCTGCATGCTTACGCGTTTCCGCCAGTGGCCCTTCTTCCTCGCATTCTAGTGAACTGTGCGCAACACGGAGGATGACTCTTCTTTGGCCGCGCCCTACTGACCGGCCAGAAGTTGGTTCGTAAATCTTCAAGACCTAGCCGAACCAGATCCCGTACCGCTTCCCTATCGACCCGATCTACTGGTTCATCCACACTCCCACCAACTACATTGGTCCCTGTTGACGCTCCATCTGCACGTTTGGCACATCTACATCAATCTTTAACGGCTAAAGGTTATTCAAAGTGGGTTGCTACTGCCATTACAACAGTGCATCGTACTTCTACAAGGTCACTCTACGAGGACAAGTGGGAAAGTTTTAAGCATACTGCAGGAAGAAGGGCATCTCACCTCCCACTACGGCATCCCCGCAGATGGTGGCAGATTATCTTCAGCATCTCCGAATCTCCAGGGAACTCAGAGGTTCTACACTGTCTACCTACCTGGCTGCTCTAAACATTGTTATTGCAACGGCCTTGGATGTGAAGATTTCCACTGTCTATGAACTCCAGTCTCTCCTAAGGTCTTTCAAATTGGCTGACCAATCCTGGAAGTTCCGGCCTCCAGCTTGGGATATCTCCGTTGTACTTGCTCATCTCACGTCAGCTGAATATGAACCTCTGGAGGAGAAGATTTCGAACATGTCTCCTTTAAGACCTTTTCTCTTGGCCTTGGCTGCAGCTGCCCGTATCTCCGAGTTGCATGCTCTTGATGTTTCTCAGGTACGGTTTGGAAGGTCTAGGCATGCGAGAGTTTTCCTTGGTTTGCGGTGAGATTTCCTTGCCAAGAATCAGTTACCAGGACAGCCGGATCGCACATTCACGATCCCACTGTTGTCCACTATCTTGGGCCCAGATGACACTGAAGATCTTTCCTTATGCCCGGTTTGAGCATTACGGATTTACCTAGCTGCCTCTAAGGACCACTGCAGGTTGCGCAAGAGACTATTTATCCCGTCATCCACTGCCTCCGCCTCGGAAGTCTCCCGTACTACCTTGGTGTTTTGGATGAGATCTACAATCCTGTGTGCATATGACTATGCGGACCCTCCTCCCTTATGGGAATAGGGCGTGTCAGCACTGTCGTAAGTTATGACTTGATAGAGTGTGAGGCAAGTCTTGTGCAACATGCAGAGATGGTCGACATTCCACTTACTGACCTCTACTCTTTGAGCAATCACGTCAGTGAAGTGTTGATTTCCGATTACCTGCGTGGTTTTCAAAGCGTTCTGCTCCTAAGTCCTTTCTCACCTTTGGTAAGTTAGGGAGATTGGTACTGAACGTTAAACTAGTTGAGCAACCAGGCTATTCCTTCTTTCACCGCCTTCCAGCGTGTGTCTGTGGGGGATAGTTTCGAAGCAGGGACTGGCCAGATTAAGGTCCTCGACTTTAATTCACTGGGGTCACCTGATAAATCGCGGGGCAGCGGGGCCTACTTGCCAAACTGCGTCCTTTTGCTTGTCAAAAGTTGCAGCTGAAAACCACATTAATTCGGGAGCGCCCACTCCCTAGAGTTTTTGTGCTGTGTAAGCCAAGGGGTTACCTGAAGAAACCCATCTCAAGTTTGGAGTTTGCATATCGGGAGTTGGTGCTTTCTCCTGGCCTCCTTGGGTTATGCGTTTTTCCCGGTGGTAGTACTAGTAGTAACGGGGTAATCTGCGACCCGCTTACCAACTGTGGGATTATGCATATCGTGAGATAGAATAAGTTTAAAAATTTGAAAATTTTATAATAAATTGTATATTTATATACTTATCCTATCTCACGCGATAGGACCCACCCGACCTGCCCCACATCACAGATTACTGGAAGCTCCAACACGAGAATGACAAGTAGAGGTGGTCATGTGATCGTTTAGGGGAGCCGCACGCGCTTTGGTGGATGATTGACAGGCGTTGATGTCGGGGTGAGGGCAGAGGTCAGGGGCGGGTCAGAGGCCAGTTAGATTTGACTCAACTTAGCTGACAGCACGTTTCCACACATGGTCATAGAAGAGAGAGATGGTGCATACCGTGAGATAGGATAAGTATATAAATATACAATTTATTATAAGATTTTCAATATTATGATATTATGATCATTAAAACATTGTCTAATCCGACACCCGTCTGTTCCATATTCCGGCAAGACTTTCCGGTCCCAACAAGCAATTTTAACTGTAATTAACACTGTCTAAACTGGCATGGGTATGAGCAGTTCACTCAAGGACCCATAATCCAAGTCACTAATTAATCCTCTTGGCACGCTAGATAATCAGGATGTAGTGATTGCGCGGTGAATCAAACGCTCATAGGATCACTGTTTCAAGTGAGTAACATATGTCAGAGAGTAAATAAAAAGGCATTGGTTCTGTCATCAACATTGTTTTAATTTGTTTCACAATTACAAAATATCAATGGCATTATAGAGATTGACGAGTGTAAATGGCAGCCATGTTGGAAAGTGATCGTCACTGTCCGGCACCCTGTCTAAACAGGCATTTTATTTCGGTCCCGTGGGGTGCCGGTTTAGACAGGTTTCACTGTATACATTTGTGTATTTGTTTCTTATTGTCAGATTTCTGGGACACAGCCGGCCAAGAGAGGTTCAACAACATGCATCCATCATACTACCACCAGGCCCATGCTTGTGTTATGGTAATTTGGCCATACAAGATATGCACCAGTTGAACTGTGCCCAAACAGTTCACATTATCTTGACATAATCCATAGCTCTGTTGTTTATTTCAATTTCTAGCCATGCCTAAAATTGTGGGTGGCTTAATTCTTTTCCAAACTGTTTTGGATGTGCAAGAATAACTACAAATTAGAATTTGAAAAACAATACAGAATGAAGTTGTTTCACAGATTTTGATATACTAATCAATATAGGTTTTAGACTACCCTAGTCTTTGTTATTACTTAAGAGTTGGAGGTTCTTTACTTCTTTGAGTAGTATATCACAGCACCCTGATGCAGCCCTAAATGGTATTAACTTTACAGCTGACAAGGAAATGTATTTGGCCAAAATTTACAAATATTTTTATCTTATATATTTGTTGTCTGTAGGTGTTTGACACCACAAGGAAAGTGACGTATAAGAATCTACCCAACTGGTTGAAGGAACTGAGGGAATACAGGCCTGAGATACCCTGCCTATGTGTGGGCAACAAGATTGATGGTGAGCTGAAATACCGGCATCCTTGATTTTCAGCAAGTTGTATCTCCACTCCATTCTGTTACATAAATACTCTAAATCTGTCACCACCATAACTTGAGACTTTTTGAAAAGATATGACACTAAATATAGCCATCCTTCTTCTGCCATCATCCACTGAGGTATGACTGGAATATTGCTAAAAGTTACTTAAATTCATTCTCACTCACTCACTCACTCACTCACTCACTCACTCACTCACTCACTCACTCACTCACTCACTCACTCACTCACTCACTCACTCACTCACTCACTCAATCAATCAATCAATCAATCAATCAATCAATATCTGCTTTATTTTTGTGAATATGAAAGTTTTCAACCAGGGTATTGCTAATGATTTGCACATCTATGTTTATCCTATTAGATATTGTAAAAATACTTTCTCAGATGTTGAGAAAGACAACCAATATTGTCACCTCTAGTCTAAAGTAAGTGTCATTGTTTCTACTTCCAGTTGACAACAGTGTCACACAGAAAGGTTTCAACTTTGCCAAGAAGCACAACATGCCATTCTACTTTGTGTCGGCATCTGATGGAACTAATGTTGTCAAGGTAGGTCATCCAGTGCATAACGATTGTCAAACAGGAATTTACTGGATATGTTGTTTGTTTTGTTGTATGTGTGTCAGATATATAGTGTTACTCTATGCTGTTTCAGTTATTCAAGGATGCAGTACGTGCTGCTGTGGACTATAAAAATAACTCAACAGATTTCATGGATGAAGTGATGCGAGAACTAGAGGTGTGTGGCTACTGAAGCTGTGATGTGGCTGTCATAATGAAATGTCTGCTATTGGCAGTTTTCAAGAATACCACCCCTTTTTGCCCGACTGCCTTGCAAATCTATCATGTTCACTTTGTGGCATCGATAGCATGTGCCAGTCATATTTCGCAAATCCTTGAACCACTTCCCTGTCCAGTGGTCTTTGGTACTGTATTCAGCTGCTATCATGTGCTAACCATTATGAACTTCTGCCTTCTGGCCGCCGTTTCAAAATCATGTATTACAAAACTAATAGAACTTCAAAATCATTTGTCCCATACAGCATAAACTTCTAAATCTTCCTTCAAAATTGTAAGTGAAATCTATGATGAGGCACGAGTGATTATTATATCATGAACTTTGATTATGTTATAATTCAACATTATATTCTGATTAGCTTGGCATTGTGTATATATACTTTCAATTATTTGTTGTTATATGCTTGTATTGGCTCTTTGAATGCAAAACAAATTTCCCTTGCGGGACAATAAGGTTTATCTTATCTTATCTTATAAGGTCCTTAACTTATCTTATGACTATTAAAGTGGTAGTTCCCACTAACTTGATCTAACTGAAATATACACTCAAATTGATTTCATGTGACTTAATATGTCAGGTATGATTGTTGCTCATGTTTTTTCTTTGGTTGTAGTATCCCAGGTGAACTCTTCTCCTGTTGTGTCCCTTTAGAACTCTTCTCCTGTTGCAGTACTTCGAGCTTGACAGTGGCAAGAGTAAAGAGGACAAGGATGACAAGTCGGACAGTGGACTAGACACAGACAAAGAGGACAGCAAGAAGACATCTTGAGATTGGCTAGGCTTAGAAAAACATGACTGTTTTATGCATCATATATTCTCAGGCAAAATGCTTCACACTTCATGAACACGGCAGGGACATAGAGGGAGGAGGGATGTGACTGCTGGCTGCTAGGTTACACGACTTTCATAACTTCTGGAACCTTGGTTAGGGGCATAGTATCTACAACTTTGGTAACAGAAGATACGAGTTAGCAGTTACTAGCTATGTGTCGCTTGAATAGGTCACCCCACGTTTCTTTTTCTTTTTGAGGCAAGGGTTGAGACATTTGAGATACAATCAATGGCAGCTGCAAAAATGGACTATCAATCTATATTTATTGATACCAAAACAATGTGATAAGCAGTTGGATAACTCATGGGTTGTTAACAATAACAAAAGGCCACAACTTCTGATTTTGCCATGTGAAAGAAATGTTTACCATATATGAATTGTTCCTGATGATTCTTATCATAATATAACATGTCCTCAATTCTTTACTGAAGTGACTAGTAGTAGTGAAGATGTCACATCACAGTATGTTGGGCATTGCATGTTCTGTATGTTGGGTATTTGTGATAAATGGGTAAATGCTGTGATAGGAATATGCTGGTCTGTTATATTGATGAAATTGTGCATTGTTTTGTAAAGTACTTATCAGGCTACAAACCTAAACTGTCAAAGTTGGTCACTTCCAGAAGATCTCTATAGTCTTTGGATTTTGTTTGTGAAGAGTCAAAACAGTACAGCATATGAGTATCTGATCTTTTCTGTGAATCATCCATGTTTAATCTTTGTCTTTCTAGTCAGTTCGGTCATATGCAGTGTGGCTATCACACACAAGCCACACCGTACAGTGTATAGCCATCAAACACTAGCCACTCTGTACAGTGCATGGCCATCAAACACTAGCCACACTGTAAAGTGTATGCATATCAGATACTAGCCATACTGTACAGTGTATGCATATCAGACACTAGCCATACTGTACAGTGTATGCATATCAGACACTAGCCATACTGTACAGTGTATGGCAGTGTATGCATATCACACACTAGCCAGCCATACTGTACAGAGTATGCATATATGACATTAGCCATACTGTACAGTGTATGCATATCAGACACTAGCCATACTGTACAGAGTATGCATATCAGACACTAGCCATACTGTACAGTGTTTGCATATCAGACACTAGCCATACTGTACAGTGTATGCATATCAGACATTAGCCATACTGTACGGTGTTTGCATATCAGACATTAGCCATACTGTACAGTGCATGCATATCAGACACTAGCCATACTGTACAGTGTATGCATATCAGATACTAGCCATACTGTACAGTGTATGCATATCAGACACTAGCCATACTGTACAGAGTATGCATATCAGACACTAGCCATACTGTACAGTGTATGCATATGAGACATTAGCCATACTGTACAGTGTATGCATATCAGACACTAGCCATACTGTACAGTGTATGCATATCAGACATTAGCCATACTGTACAGTGTATGCATATCAGACACTAGCCATACTGTACAGTGTATGCATATCAGACATTAGCCATACTGTACAGTGTATGCATATCAGACATTAGACATACTGTAGAGTATGCATATCAGACACTAGCCATACTGTACAGTGTGTGCATACCAGACATTAGCCATACTGTAGAGTATGTGCATATCAGACATTAGCCATACTGTACAGTGTATGCATATCAGACATTAGCCATACTGTACAGTGTATGCATATCAGACATTAGCCATACTGTACAGAGTATGCATATCAGACATTAGCCATACTGTACAGTGTGTGCATACCAGACATTAGCCATACTGTACAGTGTGTGCATATCAGATACTAGCCATACTGTACAGTGTAAGTGCCTCACTTGCATATTCTGACAGCAACGCATGCCATGGCCTGTCATGTAATGTCTTTTGTATTGTCTTGTATGAGATCTTGATTTGTGTTGATTTGTAAATTTTGTCTTCATGAATCTGCAGGGTCCAATTAATCACTTCTCTCCGTCCATGTATGTGCAGAAGGTCTTATAGCTAACTTGTCTTGTGTGTAAAACATGTGAACAAGATGTTTGTCTACTGACAAAAGTTTGTATATTAGTACAATAGTGAACTGCACAATTAAATATTGCTCAACTTGCCACTGCACACTGCACTGATTTTATTTTAATGTAGCTATCTTGAGCTATCCATTCAATGAGTTCTGTCAATGGATCGCCCTCTTATTAATGATTAGTCCCACAAAATGTCTGCTGGGACAGGTCGCTGTTGCACCATGCTTGTCACAGGAGTCCGCTCTAATCATTGGTTGTTTGTGTTGGGTGACTTCATTGATTCCAAGCTGGTGTATTGCTGAGCAGCATCAACGAACAAACAGTCGTGAATAGGTTGTGTGCTATTTTCATCATATATTTAGGTGTTACTGTAGCATGTTCATATATAAATGAAGGTTTGTTCATTGTCAGTTTTTTCCTTGAATATCCTGTGAAGTTTGGTCATGCCATGGCCAAGTGTTTTGTGCTCATCACCTATGATATGTTCATAAATAAAACTCATACTTTTGTAAACATTTGCAAATATTCTTGGGATCACTTGAATAAGGCAGACTTAGGATTATCTGTTTTATGTTCATAGATTTACATAAGCTGCCGTACTGATAATTAAAAATGGGTTTTGTATGTACCCGGTCAAATCAGTATCACTATGGTTTCATCTTCCACTAAGAGCTGCCCATTGGTATAGATTCCCAAGATCCAGGACAGAAACGCAAATATTTCATAAGTTTTTTGTCTTTGGTCTTGTAAGGTTCTGAGTCGTATATCTCATTCTTTAACATGACAGGTGGTCAGGCTCGCTTGCTTGGTTGACACATGTCCTCGGCTCCCAATTGCTCAGGTCGATGCTCATGCTGTTGATCACTGGATTGTCTGGTCCAGACTCGATTATTTACAGACCGCTGCCAAATAGCTGGAATATTGCTGAGTGCGGCGTAAAACTAAACTCACTCACTTTAACATGCAATCAGAAGTGTTTATTTTTAGTTAATCTTTTAAAATATGTTTATGAATTCTGGAAAAGTGAATAGCATCCAACAACCCACTGCAGCATTTCTCTAATTAGTAGCTGTAACTGATTGGTGTGGTATTGAGTTGAATCAGTGTATGCTTATTAACTAGTGAAACAAATTCTTATAGCAGCGAATTGGTACTCAGTAGAATAACATCATAATGTTGCTGTTACCTTCCAGCTATTCACATTTAGCTTGGGTGGTATGATCCTCAGGGAGTTGAGAATGAAAACTGAGTGAACAGTGATACATTGACCGGGGTAATAATAATGGCGTGCCATGATCATTCATTGGTGAATTGAATCTAATGCATTATAAATAGACTTATTGTTATTTGTGCCAAATATCATAAGTAAATATTGTAGTCCAATAATTCAGTTCTTGTATCAATGTAGGGGTATTTCTTTGTATGACCAATAATTACTGATATAAAAAGTATGGGGATGGAAATACAATTCCAATACAAACCTAAACGTAGCTTTTAGTAGAATAACTTTATGCTATGTATGTCACACATGATGTTTCATAATCAATATGGTTATCTTTGTAAATGACTTGTTCTTTATAATTTACTGGTAATAATTAATGATAATATTTGACCAAATACACTTACCTTGGAAATGCAGTTTTTCAGTTTGTACGAGGGTTTAACCTTTATTTTGTGGGTTTTTGTAATGATCATATTCCAATGTAATTCACTATTGTTGATGCTTGTCTTGCTTCTCTTGCTTTGTCATTTTTACTTTTGTCATTTACAAGGCTCACAGTAATATATGTCATTGTACCGATTTAGTTATTATGACCAGTATCTAAAATCTCCTGGGTTACTGATGAAGTATTTTCAGATACAGTATTTACACACCATGTTCAAGGAGGAATCTCTTCTCAAAGTATCTGGTGACAGTATGAAGGTGGTGCTAGAGCTTTGTCTTGGTTTTTGTAGCTTTATACATCCCTTGCTTCCATGCAGGTACTTGTTGACAACATATACAGCAGTTGATGTAGCAGGTACCTCGGAGCTGATAACTATACCACACAGCTACTTGTTGACAGCATTTGTAGCTGTGGTCAGTGCTCCAAACTGTACCACACAACTACATGTGGACAACATCAAGAGATATTTATGTTCAGTTAAATGAAATTTAGATTTGATGCTTCAACTGTGAATGTGATCTGAATATTGTAATGAATATATATTGGATGATTATGTGTTAAATGGATAATGAATGTGAATATGCCCCTGATTTGTCTTCTTCTTTGTTCATCAACATGGCAAATCTTGGATATGAGGATCAGGTTGTTTGTGCCAATAGTAGTCTGCAGTATGCTAAGCTTAGAAAGTAGTAGTTGCACTAGCTGTCTCAGTTCTACCTGTAGTGATTGATTGTTCGTATTGATGGCAAATGCAAAATGCTATTGCCTTATTTTTTTACTGAAAGGATTTACATGTATTTGTTCAATTAGGCCACAGCAATATTGATCATTTTTCCTTATCCTGACTCATGATCTTTTGCTTATCTCCCTTTCCCTTTCGAATGGTAGTGGAACACTTGAATCCCTTGAAGTTCCCGAAGGGGACGTATAAATACACTCACCCACGAGTTACCTCCCTTGCCCTTTTTTACTGGTTATCAATGATGAGGGGCTGCACAAAGTTTAAAACATGTATATTACCTTTTCGATTACATTTCTTCACAGATATCATTATACAATATGACAAAATGCCCACAGTGGCAATACTTAGTGTTCTTAATACCATATTGCTGTTAGCTTATATTCTGTTTTAAATTTGGTGTGGCCAGAGCTTGTCTTGTGACGGCTGATTTGTACAGAGCAGCAAAATTATTTGGTTAGTTACTACCAAATGTCAAGTGGTATTTTGAAAGTGATTGAGAAGACACACATCTGACATTCTCAGAACAATCACGACAATCACCTGTGAATGGGGATGTTTGTGTCGCCTTTAGTCAAAACAAGTATCAAAAGAACATTGCTTGTACAGTAGTGTAATTATCCTCATTCCTCCATTTTACCATAGTGCCCTGACTTTAGTAATTTTATCTAAACACCAACTTGGAATAGTCCTAGGACAAGTGCACTTCAGGAAGGGCCCTTGTTGTGGCTTAGAAAGTATCTAGTATCTAACATTATGACAAACATTCAAACTTACCAAACAGGAATTCAGGGTTATTGTTTTGCCTCCCAGTTTAAAACATTTCTCCATTCCCTTTTTTTGAAAGCTAATGTCATGTGAGACTGTGGTTTCTATATTAGCAGGTTCTAATATGCTTTAACAAACAGTAGTTACGTCATTGTGTGATAGCTTCTTTTTCAGAACATTTAAGCAGCATCATTGCCTGTATGTTAGAACATGGCTACACTGAGGGTATGTCAAAGTCAGCTTTACCTGAAGTGTGCTGTGTGTACGGGAGGTCCAGTATGCTGTCCACGTAAACATGGTATGGTCCCAGCTCCTCAGTGTGAACTGCCTCACAACTGCCATAACTAATACTTTAGGAGCTGAGTACAGGTATTTGTTGCTGTACAATTATTTAAGAATGTGACATGAACTTCAGTACTAAGATTGTGACAGATGTGTTGCTGACTTGGGTTTTTGAACAGAGCCCACATGTTTTCACCAGATTGTTGTAGTGATTGTAAGATAAGCTTTATTTATTTGCATTTTCACTTGTTGACAGTACCAAGTACATGTACATTATTGAAGTTCATCAACAATAAAATGAATCAAGATATCGACTTCTATCTAATTTGTTGTCACATTTTCCAGTGAATGTTCCGAAATAATTGGATTTTAAGAACACAGGTAAAGCAAGATGAAAAATGGATTTTAAGTGCACAGGTGATATGATATGAAAGTTTAGCCTCTATGACTGACTGACCCAAGTCTTGTATGAACAAACGAGACATTTTCTATGTATTCTATGCAGTGGCTGCAAGATAGAATTTCAAAGCTCTTGCAGGATATCATCACCTGTCTGGTCCCATCCACAACTTTGTTGAGCGTGGGACCAGAGCACAGTGAGCTTGTAACTGTTCTGGATATGTGTAACTGAGAAGCTTTATATAGAGGTTCATGAGGTGGTTGTAACTGTGCATATAACATACTAATTCCATTTGGGGAATAATGCTGCACATTGATTTCTACAAGTTTAAAACATCTCATTAGATGGTTGACAACTTGATACAGATATGCGGAAACACAGTCACATGCCTCCAAGATGATTTTTGTTTGTCTAGTGTTAAAGAAGAGGGTCTCCAAGACTTAGATTCTGCTTCAGAGGTAAACTTGGAAAACCTGGAACTATTGTGTAAGTAACTTAAGGTTGTGGAGACTGCCATAAAATATGTTTGATTTTGCTGGAGTCAGAAGATGGTTATTCCAGCAACTGCTGGAGTTGTTCAACAGTGGAAATATTCTGAACATATAGATTTGTTTGGTGAAGCTTGGACTGTCAGAATAGTGATTAAAAAGTAATGTGTAATAAAAGTAATATGTGTACTACAGGCATGTCCTGCCACTGTTGATACAAATACAGTTGTTTATACCAATCTTACGCCATACAGCAAACATCAGATACCTGGTGTATGTCATATAAAAATACTGGCTATTGAAATTACTTCCTATTCTAAAATAAGCAAATAGATCTTGAAGTATGTTCAATAATAACATTACAGACTTTTCCTTAAAATGAAAGATAGGATGTTTTCAATGTTTACACACAAGTTCACTGCAAGTGTAAACAACGCAGGTTGAATCTGATTATATTATGTGGAGGAAGCTACTTTGAAGATGGTGACTTCTAAATTCTTTCTTGAAATGTCTTTCATCTGGTATCAAAAAAGGATATAAATCGATCTTGAGTAGCTGGGACATTATAAGTTGTTCACTGGTCATGAGGGGGACATGGGTTGATGTACCCTTGATGTACTTCAACCCATGGGCCCCCAAGGGACCAGTGAACAACATATTTATCTTACCAAACACCTCAATGTTAATTTTTAACTGTTTGAAGCACGGGTATTGGATCATAATAAGGAGTACCTGAGTTAGGCAACAGCCCAAACACTACTAACATGAAGTACCAAACGAATTCGCACAGTTCGGCATTTCCGGCAGGTAACATAGAAAACGTCACTTGCTTGTAAGCGGGGTACATTGATTGGCTCAGCACATCAGAAAACGACATTTATGTGTGTGCGGTAAGATAAATTTAGTTCTGTCAGCTTTTTAAAAATATATTTATCAGTATTCTGGCCAGTAAAGAAACAAATTTGAAATAGGACATACCTTTTTTGAAACAAGCTTACTGTTAATAAGCAAGTCTATGTATGTGCATTGGACTGGAATCATTGATAGCCAGTGTTACTGCTTTTGATTATTAGTCAGATCATTATCAAAACACACCATGTACAAAGTATCAGCGAGTTTTGGGAAAATGCTCTGTGAAAAATAACTGAATAAAAGGAGTAATCACTGACTTAAGGTGAGCTAATCTACACTGGGTGTTTCCCTGTCAATATGAATACAGTTACAAATATTCTTTTGTAGTACTTAGAACTTAGCAATGTTTCCTGCAAATGTATACATGCAGTTAGACATAGAGAATACTACACGAGGTCTCATTACATACGAATTATATGAAACGAGTGTCCTTCCTATGGTATCGGACCTCGCTTTCCATAGAAACCATAGGAAGGTCACGAGTTTCGGTTAATTCAGATGTTATGAGATGTTATGAGACCTTGTGTGGTATTACCCACATTTTATGCTTTAAAGTGACAAAATAGCGTATTTTTGTTATTTTTATGGTTGCAAACTGAAACTGGTTTCATTAAAGAGTTTGTGGAAGAATGTTGTTCTGTAGTACACTTTTTGCATGACGTCACACTGTAATGACGTCGCTACGCCTTGCTCGTCTGCCCCCTTGGTAACCGACGTCACAATGCATGTCAGTTGTCATCGCCTCGTACAACCTCCTACATTAAACTACCGTATATGACCGACTATAAGTCGGGCCCCTTTCTCAACCCTCTAAATTCTTGCCAAAACCATGTAACAAAAGTATAAGTCGGCTTCTTTCCCCGTACGAATCGGTATTGCGCCTCAATCTTCACACTCGACACGATGTTTAATGCGAAAATATATGCATGAAGCATTTTTGTCACAGGTCATAACCTAGCACAATACGTCAAATAAATCCCATAATTTACGTATAGGTAGCAATTTCTTGCTTAATATGTTCAGAATAGCACCCCGTTTCTTAGTTTGCAGTTGCTTCACTCGGCTAACATCACTGGTGGAAACTTTGCGTTTGTTTTTCAACGCATATAATGTCTTACTTCAATTCACAATTAAACAGCGATACGGCAACGATCGCAATGTTTACATTCCCACAATGCATATAAGTTGTAGAATGAATGAATTCACGTGTTTGTTATGAATGAAAAAGTAGTTCCGTCACAACATGACCTAATTGAGAGGTCATCGGTTATCCAATCAAATCTTTAGAATCTCAGGTCAAGTCGTTACGACACAGGTCAACACGATACGACACTCATGTGACGTACAAGATTAGTATGCAACTACCCATACGTTGACCACGTGGGTAATAAACTTTATTATCCATATGGTGAAACATTACCAGTGTCATATATATTATGTGCACATGTGTATATATCACTTTTGCCTAGCAACCATTTCGTCGTCTGTGACATCATTAGACAATTGAACGTGATGTCAATGAACAGGGCTGTCACACTTGCTTACCATGTTTTACTGCACAAATGTACATGAATAAAATGGATAATAAAGGAATTATTACACTCGCAAGTGTGCCACACGACTTATACCAAACTCGTGCAAAATTGTGTATTGCCCTCGCTCTCGCATGGGCAATACAAAATTTCACCCTCTTTTCATCGTGTGACACACTTGCTCGTGTAATAATCTCCATTTATCATATCCATGTGAATACAGTAATAGAGTATTCTTTCAGTGTTGCTTTGCTCACTTTGCTCTTATAAAAATATAGCAGTGATAAGCTAAACCTTTACATGGAAAACCAATTACTGGTAATGAATACTAATGATCCAATGGTTCACCTGTGAGTGCTCTCTTCATTTACTATTCCAAGTCACAACTGGTTCTCATGGCAACCGGACATAATATCTTCATTCACATTATCTGTGCCATTGTTGAAATCTATTGCATGACTATTGAGTACTGATTTCTTATCTATACCATTTGTTATTCTTTGAACTATATTTTTAAACAATCCTTTGACTCTGGTTATGAATTTAACATTACTGTATCTGTCTTTTGGAAACATGAACTATAAATAGAGATCATGCATATTTCTTAAAAGAGGCTGTTTTGATACACATAATTGTTTGTTCATTGGCAGTAAATGAAGGATCATTTCACATCAGAATTTGTAAGAATGAAACCATATCACAATACAGTGGATATCCCTGCAATATTGTTGAAATGCTATCATATGGACAAAAACCAAGTCTGTAGCAACGTGGAAGAGTTTATTTAACATTTGTTTCTTACATATGGCCACTAAGATAACAATCCTTCACAATTGTAATGTTCAAGTATATAAATAATAGAAAAGACAATTATTGATTTGCTGTGAACCAACTGGAAAACACTAATGTGATAAGTCTGTTTTCTGTACAGGCTACAAGGTGAAGGTCATTTCAGTGTTTATATACATTGTACAATTTTCAGGCACACTGCTCCCTAAAATAAAGTTAGTCCACACAGTTTTATAGTTTCAATCTACACAAACAAGAAAACAGGAAATATTACTGTAATTGTAAATCAGCATTAACTGCAATGGTTAACAAGTGCATGCATAAAATTATTTGTCAAATCATCAATTAAGGTTATTGTGGTTAAGTTGGAATAATCAAATGTATCATTTTTATCAACAGTCGAAGTGTTAAATGTTTAATTACATTTCATTTACTTGACCGATCACAAATCAGCTACACAACCATATTCTGGTCCAATTTATTTAAGTGAGGAGCCTTTCAGAGCATATACAGTGTTTATCGAATTTTACACTATAAGTGAATACAGGAGTTACCCCCCTTTGTACAAAAAAGTTTTGGGGAACCGTCATTATCTTAAAAAAATATTTAGAGAGTTGTGAATACTATCAAATATACAGATCTGGACTTTGATAAATATAGCATATGAAAGACTAGCATAGGTGCATACACAATCCCATATCAACATGTTTATCTACATAACAGCTAAATCTGTTTACACTCCATAAAATAGATAGGTGACAATTCTGCTTTATTTCAAACAAAATACATCTTTTGACATCAACTAGCAATCACCGTATCTGGATAAGGTTTACCTGTTTGGATAATAGGACACAAACATATTATCATAGTAGTAATTAGTACCAGTGATAAGTAATAATCTCATGTTAATGTGTAACCCATGATAAGATCACAAAGGTATCAGTTCAGGAGCCATGTATTACAACAACTGCACATGCCAAGATGCAACAACACTGGCAAGTAAATGTGATAAAATACAGTCCCTAACGCCCTCAAAATATTTGGCACAAAGACATCAGAAACAGTAGTGAATTTAGACTGATATCAATGTGCATATGTTAACTCTGTGTAGTATAGTGTAGTGGTTTCGATGATTTAAAATGGCATGCATCCTAAATTGATGAAAATGTAGATATTAAGTTTCATCTAACAAGAAGTTATACAGGAACAGCAAGTGGTGTCAGTCCATTATTAGGCTACCATTGCTCCAAGTTTACTGGTACCCCTCTGACTACCAGGCTGTACCTGCCTCATCTTAATTTTAATTTCTCAAAAAAAATATCTCAAGATGCAGTTATATGCCACATGTTTACCTGTTTTTATATATGTCAACAGAAAACTGCTTGCATAGGATATCAACTGTACCTACAACCTTGAAAACTGGTGATCTCGCTGCTTCTCAGTTAATATATATTTTTAGTTCACAAAGAAGATACATTTCCTGATACAGTTATGATACAGATAAACAGATATGTTGCCTATGTTGGTCTTGACAACTGATACATGCAAGGCAACATCATTGGCCAGCATCACTTCCAAAACATCAAACAGCCAGAAAATATTACAAGTCAAACCAGATTCTAAAGCATTTCCATCTTAGAACTTAGCAAACAAACAAAACAGAACAAAACTAAAAGCAAAGTTGATCCAAATGAAGAACTGGGCAATGCATGCTAGACAATCCCAACACCGTCTGGCAGAAGCAGGCAGGTGGTAGAAAGTCCACACTGATATGATAAGAAGTACAAAGGCAGACAGACAATGAGTATATTGCATGAGAAAATTTGGAGTATAAATAACGGTTGGGATAAGTGTGTAAACACAATGTGACTAGGGCACTGATAATATCTTGTGATATGTACACTGGGTGCAGTTTTTCCATGTCATGCAGGTTATATCCATGAACTGCATCACAAAGTTGGTCCAGTCAATAGTTCCAGGAATGTATAAGATATACTGCTCACACTGAACAGTCTCATCACACAATATAAATGTTCTATTCACATGTAATGCCTGTTAAACTTTCAGTATGAAAGACTTGAGCACTAAACACTTCACTTTTTTCCATAACAACATGTCTGTATCATTGTCTCACAAACTTCACAATTATTTCCATGTCTGAATAACAATATTTTCACAGTCAAACACAATCACAGTGCTGTCTTCCTCATAGCTACTTTTTTGATCGATCGCTCTAGGTTCATTCTGTGTCCAACCTGAACAACACCAAGTTCAATGTAGTCATTTCTACCCAGACCTAGTAGCTTGGGTCCATCAATGCAGTTCTTTGCAAAACTTGACCTATACTGGCTCATACTGACACTGTCAAGCCAATCCATGACATCCGTACACAGCCAGGATTCAACAGCCTTTGTCTGGAATGGTCGGAGCGATTTTGGTTTGCCACTTTCTGAGTTGCCAAATTGTGGTGGAGGGGGAATACATTCCTCACCTTGTATTTCATCATACATTTGTTCACCTGAGTCATCAAATCCTGGTGGCGGTGGTGGTGGAGGGATAATATCATCATACTGTTGAGTATGCTTTGCTGGTGGAGATCCCGCTTCACCTTGTTCACTGGATAGAGTGCTCAGAGTGGAAACTGATGAGACCAGACTTGCTGCATCATCATGACCAAATGCTGACCCAAACTGTTCATTATTAGCATGACCACTCTCATCCGTACTGCTCTCATTGGCAAAAATAGGAGGCGGTGGGATGATGTCAATTTGAATGACACCATGGGCATTGGTCGGGGGTTTGTTCCCACCATCCTCAAATTCAGTTGGTGGGGCTACATAGCCACAATTAGATCCATTCTGAAGACCTTTCTCCTTCTTATTTCTGCTAAGCGTAAGACCAGCTTCAGTGTGAGAGTGATCTTCAGTGACACCACCCAACTCAACATTTCCCCCAGATTTCATTGTTCCATTCAAATTCAGACGGGCTTTCTCAAGCTTAGCAATCCTATCCCGGATGGACACTTTAGAATCTTCCTCAACAGATGAGCTTTTCAGTGGAATCACTTCAATGTTGTTTGTGTTAGAGTTTGTGGGTGTAGCATTTTTAGTTGTGGTATTCTTTTTTAGGGTTCCTGTATCTGTGCCATTTGATTTCTTCTGTAGCCACTCCTGCCTACGTTTCTCTGCCAGAGCCAAGAAATCACTAGGCTGAGGTGATTCAGAGTCTGATTTAGTTGCATTAGGTACACTGGCTGGAGTTTCCTTAGCTGTAACAGTTTTGCTAGGCACCTTTTTTGGCAGCTGTGTGGATTTAGCATTTGTCTCTGTTGCTGGTTTTGTAACTGGAGGTGGTGGTGCAGCAACTGTCTTTTTACTTTTTAATGTATTGGTATTCCCTAAAGGTACTTTTGAAGGATTCACAGAATGTTTCTCCTCAGCCATTTCTGGTGATGTTGCTTTCATATCTTTCCTATTAATGGTGTCACTTGAGAAGAAATATTTGGCAGACTGAAGCTTCTTTGTTTTCTGTAATTTTGATTCAATCGTTTCCACTACGGTAGAATCATCAACTTGGGACAACAGACTTTTACGTTTGGCTACTGCAGCCTTCAGGGCTTCATGATTCATTTCAAGTTTTGACTTCTGAGCAACAGCTGCAGGGACTGGCCTATCTGGTGCCATGAGTGGTCCATCTGACTGCATCCTTGCTTGTCTCTTAGCAACAGCAGCCATGATGTCATCTGTTGGTACAATAGGTGGACCTTGAGGAACTGGTTTTTGAGCTGCTGGACGTAGCTGAGGAGGTGTAGAGGATGGAAGAGGGGGTGGGTTAGAAGCAGGAGGTGGGGGTGGAGGAGGGGAGGTGGTGGTGCAGCAGCTACTGGTGGAGGAGGAGGGTGGGGGAGCTGTTTGAGGGGGTGGAGTGGTGTAGGAAGTGACTGTTGTAACTGGCTGACTTGTTTGAACTACAATAGAAGTTAGTGGTGGTGGTGGTGGTGGCATAATATTGATTTTATCTGAGGAAGTATCCCGATCTCCACTCATATTGGACTGGACTGAGGAGCGCCGAGAACTATTGGTACTGGAAGGCACTGAGGGTGGCAAGGGTGCTGGCTGCTGAGGACGAGGAGGAATCACCAGTTTGGTTGTTCCACTGGAGGGATCATTTGAGAATGGAGCAGTAGAAGACGGAATGTCTGAATGAATTGTGTAACGTTTGTTCTGAGGAGAATTTTTCTGTGATGCTTCTCCTCCTACTGAAATCACAGTTTTATTCTCACTAGCATTTCTGGACCCTGTAGATTTATGAGACGATGCACTAGACTGTCGACTGAAAGTCCCTTGAACTTTCGTGCTAGAACTCGAGGACACTGACTCAGCTTTTTCCTCATCACTCTCAACATCATAGTCAGGTTCAGGTTCTGCTTCATAGAAGTTCTTTTCCTTCTTCTGCCCTTTGTGCACATCTGCTGTCACAAGCAAAGTAGCATTAGGATGTTTTTGCATGAAACTTGCTGCACTCTCATAAACCTTATCTTCTGCAAAAGACACACCAGGTTTGTCTGTCTCATTCTCTGCATCTGGTGGTACAGCAATATTTCCAGCACTGGCACTTCTCTGGTGAGCCTTCAGTTTGGCCTGTTCTAGAGAAGCTGTTGTTACCTGTGGGTGTTTCGTCAGCCTTGCCAAAGTGCCAGGTCGAAAACTTGATTCATATGGAGAATCTCGAGCCTTTGTTTTCTGGATGTCCTCTGAGACATTGGCATATGTGGTACTGATTGAGACAACTTCTGCCTTCATTGGAGGAGGCGGTGGAGCAGGGCGTTTTGGTGTGGGTTGACGACTTGGAATCTGAGGAACTGAGTATGGAGGCTCATCCTGACTAAGATTTAGCTTGGATGCACTTCCACTACTGACAGCAGCTTGGAGTACTTTTGGATCAATGTAGGCTACTGGCCTCTTCACAGATGGAGTCATGTATATTGGTCCCCTCAGACTTGAAGGTTCAGAGGTTTTCACTACTACAGGAGAGACATGAGACTTGCTCCAGGTTGCTCCTGGGCCAGGTCTTTCTTGTCCAACTGCTCCAGAGCCAATTGCAACACCTGACTTGGCATAGATAGCCTCTGGCTTAGTTAACACCATCTCACCAGCAAGATCCGGTGTGCTCTTGGATCTTTCCATGTTGCTGATGGTTCCATTCTGTTTCTTATGGTACTTCATAATCCGCAGTTCTGATGGACTCACATAATCCTTGTTCTTTGTCTTGCCATGTTCTGTCTTCTCGCTGACCAAAATGCTGTCCAGATCAACCACAGACATCCTCTTAGCTGAATGAGATGCACGCACTGATGCTGTTTTAGGTTCTGATCCACCGTCATTGGGCATTGAAGAGCGCCGAGCATACTGATTGCCATCATACTCTGCTAGAGTCTGGTCAAGTTTTTCTGAAATAACAACAACAAAATTCATACACATTTATCATCAGACAATGAGTCCATAAACATATTTGATGAATTCATTTACACCTACATGAAAGCTTGATCAGACTGGCTTTATGCATGAGATATTTAATTCCATGTGATTCATAAGAAGATACTAATGAAGCTAAAATCAAACCACATGAATCATGATTACCTATTTCTGCAAGTCCCTCTGCCATTGACTTAGACGTAGCTTTACTGTAGGACAAAGATGTTTGTGGATCTCGGCGAGGAGGAGCAGGAGCTGCAACAATATAACACAGGTGCATATCTTGATAAACAATATCAATTCCAGAGAAGCAATAAAAAACATTAATTGTATCAAATTCACATTCATTTCTTGTGCAATTCCAGTAATTGTAATGTACATACCTTGTCTCTTGCGGTTTGGAAGTGTCATGACACCATCTTGGTGTACAAACCAATCACTGTTTCGGTCAAGAGGCCGAACTGTCACCACTGTCATAGCCAGGGTGGAGCGTGCTGTGCGAATCAGCTGTACAACTCGTTCATGTGAGGCACGAACAACGTTCTCTCCATTGATCTGTTGACAAGAAGACCACAGTTTAAATGACAATAACAGGAAACTATTGCCTTTCATAATGAAATACAGATTGTAATTTAATGTTCATTTTAAAACAAGCTGGGATTCTATCACAATAAACAATACCATAATTATACAACACATGTTTCTTGCAAAAGACACATAAAAATATTTCCTTATTTTCAGTATGAATGTTGAACATGCATTTGAACTGAGTATGTAACATATAGCTTCAATTTTGATTTTTTTAAATTGTGTAAACATTTCTTTTACTTCTTTCTAAAATCAAATGCATATCTTCATAACATTCTATACACGTTCCATATTAAAGAGATTTTCGCACATTGTTTACATAAAGTCCTAACTGATCAAGTGTGAGTATGAAATCTACCAATACATATGTGCTTAACCCTAAGGAAGAAAGTCTTTGTCATAAATTGTATCATATAGAATAAACTTGCTATCAGCAAGACTTCATCTAGATTTAGCAACTGTGATCTAAATGTGTACTGATGGGACTTCCTCACACTCCAGTGAGACGAAAACAACAATACCTCAGTTATGTGTGTGTATTGAACACTCAGGCATAGAATCAATTACTCAGTTATGCGTACTCACTCAACTTAATTTAATATTTAATGCAGTATGGGACTATGTTCACAGATGACTGAATCCAAAGAAGATGAGCGTTCAATACACCATCAACCGTTCATGCAAACATCTATTTTAGCAATTAAACTGAAATGGGGATAAATTAATCCAAGTCACAATCTCTTCAAAAACGTATCCTAAGGTAATGGCATGACTGGTCACTTAGGGTTGTGTGAGTGATGGCATGGTGGCATTCAGAGTGAGATGTGTTACCCAATATTGCACACATCCTGTGTTATGATGTGACCAGACAATATGGATGTCAACAGACAAGCATCAAGCAGTTCTTGATGGTAGGGGCTGCATGTGTTTGGTGATGACCACAGGCAATATCAAATCAAACATGGCGGTGGGCGTAAATAGTGGGACCTCAAATGGCCACTGGTATGGTTGGGGAATGTCAATCTCAATGCTGTAGCTGTGTGTATTGACCTAAGGCTAAAAAACAGGAAGGTCTGCTTAACGTGGAGTGACCCAAACATGTCATCTTAGAGCACTTCTTTATGCTTGGATGAATGCAAAGGAGTTCACCACTTAACATACCAGCCAATGAATTACCTTATGATGAAAAGTCAATATTGTCTTATGACTGTTTCATGACACATGTAAAAGCATGATCAGATTATATTTTCTTCAGTTAATTAGAGGCAAGCTGGTGTGTGAAAGAAGATTCCCTGAAATCAAAGCTAACACATTTGTTTTCTAGTTGCATATTTTCACCAATCTTTGTTCCATTTCTACAAAATGAAAGCAAATGTCATCTTATTTTTTACTGAGATTTTCCTTTGGACTGTTTTTAAAACTTGTTTCATAATCATATATTCTTAGCTTGAAAATGAAAATGATAAAAAAACAAAAACATTTTGAACTTTAACATTCAAATTATCACAACCTGAGAGTAAGCTAAAAGCACTTATAATACATTGTGACTAACATTCTCTTGGAAGAGAGCCATAGCAAAGTCAATATTTGTCTAACCAACTATCTTATCACTGCTACCTCATGACAGCTCAATGGTTGCCACCTTTATATACCTCCTGCATTGGGAAAGCTATACTTATCAGGACCTAAGCAAGCATGATACAAAAGTGTGGGTTTATCTGCCACAAACACCCTGATTACTACAGCTAAAACTAAAAGACATGGATATGGAAAGACTTGAACAACTAAAAGATGTGTGTGCGCTGGTTTAAGTTTCTGCATAGTCATTACAAATGTGTTATTCTGGGTGGTTTGTCAAGGGAATCAGAATTAGTAGTGACCAAACATGAATATTCGTCTGGAGTAATAACTGGAGACACCATTCAGCTGTGCCAAGTCATAGGTTCACAATACGTTGAATTAAGTGTCTGCCTATTCAACTGCCAACTTCTTTCACAGCAAGTCATGAAGCTATAATGTGAGTATAATTAAACAGCAAGAAGATTTCACCTGTCCTGAAGTTTCATGCACCATGAAATTACAATGAATCACTGTTGAAAGAACAAACTATCACTCAGGTCACCAGGGGCAGATCACACCAGTCCACATCTCATTTGAACTAGTGGCTTATATGAAACAACTAGACAGGGGGAGAAAACAACTAGTTGCTCTGAATTTTCATTAGTTTTAGATGAACAGACAAGTGGCTGTGTTTATCTCTGAGACACTTGAATTCTGAACCCAAATTAAACTATCAAGAAACAGTTTTCTTCAGTAAAATACAACATAATACGAGATAAAAAAGTCGAATACAAATAGTTGACTTTAATTCGCTTAAATCTTGCTCATGTTCATGATCAAAATACAATCTGAATTATGTTTCTTTGAATTTTGTACACAAATGGAATAATTGCATATACCCTTTTATGCAAATATTGACTCATTCCGAATACATTTTTCTTTCAGCATCCACATGGAGCAAAGTTAGCCAATCTTTTGTCTGCCAGTGTTGAGATCTCATTGACAAAGCCAACACCGTAAACCTATTCCAAGATGTTGACAAAGTCATGCTAAATTCTTCTTCACAGTGTTACATGCAGCAGACATAGCCCCATGGCAGTAGTCACTAAATCAGACGTTTACATTCTCAACCCCAAAAGCCTTTAAACGGGCTCACCCAACCTCCTCAAACCCAAGAAAACACATTCACAGTGGAGATGGTTAAGGAGATCGAGTGGAGTCTGACAGTCAAAAGTCGTCAGACAAAGTCTCTGCAGCTGTCAGGAGTGTTTCTTTACTTGCAAGGCTGAGTATGACAATATGGTCTATAATACAATGAGTTATACGCTGATACTATTAAATTTAAATCCTGCAGATGAATAATAAAAGTATCACAACAATGACCAGTGTCAGATTTGCTTAATCTCATGGAATCATAGTCTTTTTCACTGTGCCAATTTTAACCCAAACCAAAACAACCATATAAAACTCTTTGTCACAGTCAAGCTGAACATTTTCCCCATGGACAATTCAAAACACTGACATTCAGCTAGCTTGAAAGCAAAGAACAAATTTTCAGATTCCACTACATCTATATTAAGTTACAGACAACATGAAATGGAAGTGTGAGCGATACATTAGTGTCAATGATAGCTGATGAATAGCAGTGATTAAAATGACTTTGCAATATCCAAGACGTCTGCAGTCTGTAAATACAATCCCAGACAGACCAGAATATATGGAATAATTTGCATGCAGATCCACATTATAAGCTGTTCCAGAGGATAAGGACAGAACCAATGATTCATAGAAATCCTGATACTCAACACCACAGAAACAAGTCAGTCATCATTCATAAATCTTCATCCTGATTGATGACAGTGTTGATGTAGAGAGGATGTTGAAGTCCGGTGACACAGAGCACCGGAATAGTTGATACAAAATGACTACATGACTCTCAGTACTTGGGGATTGTTATGATTTATGCCAGTTTATCTGGTGATTGATAACTTTATTATCAGACTTGATTCCCCCATGAGGGTTTAAGACAAAGGTCAACAGTGGTATTGAGATTGTAGTGGACAGTGACGCACTACTGTCTATCTCCTCACATCAAAGAGTGATGAGTGGCAGAGAAAAATAGCTTTCAGTGAGATCAATAGCCATGTGATTAACTTTTGTCATGAGCATTAGAGGAGTAGAGGTACATGATGACATAGTTATAGCAGAGAATGATTGGGTATGTTTGTAAGATTTGCGTAACAGATATTACACTTCTGTTTGAAGAATTCAGTTTTGAACCCCAAATTCTCCTTGACTGTCAGCATTTGGAGCAGTCAGCTTACAGGTTTCTGCCTACTGGGCATACTGAATTACTGTATGTATCCAGCTGCTTTTCACATGGCAATCCTATAAAAAGTGACAAGCAAGCGCAAGTATCAAGTGTTTCCATACAATTTGGGATAGTTAATACTGAAGTATTAAGTAATACACTTTAGGCTTAACATAAGCAGCTACTGACATAATGGCTTCTAAAATCTCCAAAAGGGATTCCATTCCATGGCAGAATTGGTTGCCAAGTATCAACATGTCACTAAAATCAGGACTGATTGTTAGTAAATGTACAATTCAACATGGGTCATTAATAACACCAAGCATGGGTTCACTCGACTCTAACAACCTGATAGAGCTGTGTAATTTGCATTCCTTCAATCATTCTGCAAAATGGTTCTCCATCATGGGAATAAACACAAACAGTTGTACATTTGTCTTCAAGAGCATTAGAACAATGATCCACAGGAAAATGGATGATCCTCACACTATGTGACAATGGGAAGAAAGACATCTTCTTTGACGCAGACTAAGAATTACCTTAGGAAACTGTTTTTGTTCCCATAATGAGACAAACAAAATGTCTTTGTATTGTGGAAGAAAGCTGTGACAAGAAACCAACAGAAGCCATCAACTATGAATGTGTGCCTGACATGATACCATCACACACCAGCTGTCAACCTCCACAATAACCCTGACAGTCCACATCAACACACAGAAAATACCTGATATTTTCCAGGAAGTAATCACTTCCTAAAACCTGACAATCAGGACAATAGCAGGCCTTTGTGTCATTACAGGATATTGGCAACAGCAGAGAAATCATTAGTCAAAATGAAACATTCACCCTAACAACTCCACTTGACATGAAAATTTGTTGACAGTGTTGAAATTCATTTGAAGTAAATATACTGTGGCAGAAATGAAGAAAACTGTTGACAACACATGCTTTTCTTGGTTCTCCTGACTCTACAAATAAGTGAAAGCATATTTCATTATGTACAAAGGAGCTACTCCAAGGATTAAGGACAGCTTAAACAGTGTCACTTGACAGCCTAATGTAAACTGAAGTACAAAAAAATTGGGCTGTGGTTATAAAATTGTTGACTTTTGGTCACAGGTTTTTCATAATACCAGGCTTTAGACAAACTAAGCAGTATGTACACAGACTGCCAATGTTCCACTGAAAATGTAAAGTTCCATAGTTTCACAATAGACCATGCATACTGTTTCACAGCTAGGTTCAGAGAACAAATGATGCAACACACAGTTCCCTTGAAACAGTGACACTCATATCTGAAAAGTTCCCTGAGCTGGACTATATTTTCACTTGAGGTACACTTCAAATAAACAGATATAACAGGTGTCTGATAAAACTATCATTTGCCATTTCCAGTTGATTGTAGTGTTAATACATGTATATGGATTATGATTAAGTCAGTTTACAAGCAATAAGCAAGGAATCTTTTGTACAAAACTTATTTTCAAAACATAGGATTCCAGGAACTCCATGGCATATGAACATTATTGAATACTGGTAGTAATGACAAGAACAGTCTGTGAATGTCAGGCATACAATGGTGTAACTATCCATGGTATCTGTTGTTTGTGACTTGAAGATTTAAACTTGAGTGTCAGGCAGACCTTACATGGCACTCCATTGTCAAATAGGATAGATGGAATATCAGCACATAACATCATACAGAATATGCTTTGTAACAGGTCTTGGATCATTCAACAAATCAACAGAAGCATACAGCAGTTCAAAGCCACAATAAAGACTGTCCAAACTGTTCAAACGTACATGTCGAGTGTGGCAGACAGAACAACGCAGGCACATGTACGGCCAAATTAAAACATGACGTTATAAAAACACACGAACCTTCTGTGTTTGACGACAATGTTTAAAGGAAAGACGTGTTGACATATATGCATTAGAAGCTCAATAAAGCAAACAAATGCCAAATATTACACATGCCTTCAACAAACTTCTATTATTTAGGAAGTTGCAGAAAGGTGTGAAATAAACCTATGAATGAATGTCCTTCAGTCTGAGATTCTACATGACATACTTAAAGAAGTCGATGATCACATTTTCTCCAGGTTAAGTCAATTGTGCATCTTAAGTCAATATTTGGTATATATTAAAGGTACAAATCTCACCTCCAGTAAGAAATCCCCAGCTTTGAGGCCCACTCTGTCTGCTTGGCTACCTTGATCCACACTGTCCAGGTACTGCAGAGCAGGAAATTCGGGAGTAGGCTGGAAGTCCAATGTCCCAGATTGTGTCTGGGCTGAAACAATCAACAACATTATTGATTACCGCATGGGAAATGTAAAGAAATGTATTTAAGTTGTCCTCTAAATGCTGGACATTTGTTTACTACCTATAAGAAGAACATTTCTGTTTATTGACACTACGGACATCACATTATCTTAATTACTGTATACAACTGTCAAATCACACAAGGCAACAGAAGCATCAGTTCAGTGGTGTCCTACAGAATTTCAGCAAACAGGATATAATTAAGTGATCTCTGAAGTCTGGTGCAACATGGTTTTGCAAATGTGTGTGGTACAAGTGTATTTCTGTATGGTCAGGTCTGTATCGTGTTTGTTACAGCAGCTGTATTTCAAAGCCTGTTTGGATCATCATTGTCCTTTTAACTAAATCCATTGCAAACTGACTAATTTGTAGTAGCTATAACAGAATGTTATACACAGAAACAACCTCAGTATATAGTAGCTCTATGTTAAGCATGCAGAGGGAACACACTAACCACTAGACTCACCTATAAATTGATGTAGAAGCATATAACACTACATATAAAATGTCTAGCAAAATAACAAAATGGCCTTCAACAGGTATTGGTGCTACAGCAACAATGGAGAAAAAGACAGATGTATTTCTACAACAAAAATACTTCCTATCTGAACATGGCTTGGTTCCACAACAGAATGTCCTTGGATTCCATATATACCTTCAACACAATTTAAACAATTTTTTCACATTAGGATGCCAAGTGTCTGGTAATAGCAACTTTCCGCTCACTGGTACATGGTAATTCCACATTGAGCCTACGTTTAACCGCTTCCACCAGATCCATGTTTGGCTTATTCACTTCTTGGTGGAAGCCTTTCTTAAAACAAATGGAATACCTCATCCATGTTTATGATTAATCAGGATTTCCTAAACATGGCACAAGCACACTGTTCCGATAATAGGACTCATGAAAGGTAGGATGCATTTTAGAGCTCAACAACTTCTTTGCTTGTAATTAGCTTTGATGTGAAAAATGGCACTCAGACATTGAAAGTGGCCAGTCTAGAAATATCTTGGGGTTAACATTTGTTTGACAGACATTCATCTAAAATGAACTTTTTTGAACAGATTGGAAAGAGATTTTTTATAAGTTATTGGGATTTGTGGATACTAAAAAATATTTTTATTAAACATTGTAAAAATGTGCATACAAAGCATTTATTACATCACAGACATAATTAGTCCAAACAAAACAACACAATAATACCTGAACAAGTTAATATCAGAGAAGTAGACCAAAACATTTGAATTTGAAGTCAGGACAGTAGGGAGAAAAACATGTAGAAACTATTGATTGCATATCATACAGTCTCAAGCTAATAGCACACTTTAATGTTCAAAAAGTCTGAAGTTACAAAAACAGGATATATACCCAAAATATCTCGTCAGATTTCACATTTGGGTCAATAAATCCACACAACATTACTTTTTACTATTCATGAAGCATTTAAAATTACTTCTTATTCTATTTTCACATATTTGAATGTTTTCAATACACCTTTTCTTTAAACACTTTCAATTACATTAGATGAGTGAAATGAAACAGTGTTGAAAGACTCTGTCCCTTTATAAGCAATATTTAGTAGACCTTCAGACCTCCCTCCAGACATCAGCTTTAACAACAAAGGAAGAACTTAGCATCACTGAAAACCCAGTGAGTCTTCCTTTATGGTGTGCTCATGTTATGGACAAATGTTCATCTGGGACTTCACAACGTCAACATAACAGAGACAACAGCCAGATTTGCAAGTCCCTAATCTTTTCAAATATTCACAGCAGATGGAATTTGGAAGGCAAAATGTTTTGAGAGATTTGGTCAATCTGACAAGTTCTGTTATCATTCCAACAAATTACTAGCAACATAAAAAGTCAAACTGCTCAGAATCTTTCTGGCAAGAAATAGATCAAACAGTATACTATATGCAATGAAAACAAACAGCTATCAGTGAGAGAACAAACATAGCAACAATGTCACATTTTTGCATAACAGATGCAATACATGTATTCTGCCATATATAGTGCAAATATCAAAGCAATCCTTAATGAACTAGTTTACAAGGGCACTTTGGGTTTTCTTCTCTGAAATGTCAGTGATCTTGAGTCTTTGTGAAGGCTAAAGCAGGTGTGAGAAGGAACAAGTGGTCTTCAGGGTCTTACACATAATTTCACCTTATCAAATACATGTCTAGTCCAGGTTTTGTTGAGCTGAAGAGAACACCCTCTTCCTGAGGCCAGCATCATCCCCTAAATCTGAAGCATTTTCAAAATCTCGTTGTTTCCAGAAAGCTTTCTTTTTCTTTGTTTTCTCTCACTAGGCAACTGCTATCATAAGCCCAAAATTGTCCTTTCCAAGGTTCAAGCTCTAAAGACTAACCAGACTTGAAACATCGCCACAGACTGTGGCCATTCCAGTACAAAACACAGATGTTATGAATATGTTATTCAATGGCAATATCACAATAGTTTAAAACCAAAACCTGAATTTGCAATCTGAAAAAGTCCTTTCTAAAGTGAACAGATGAGACCTAAATCAAGGTGAAGGATCTGGACATTGATACAAGTTCCTGAATGCAGAGCTGGTCCTTTATTCGATGTGTTGAGGGCATGAAATGAGATCATGAAGATTTTCAAATGTTTATAGAAATTATCACTATTTAATGAGGTGCACTTTGCCCCTGTAGTTTGCATTTTCAATGAATCATACAAACGCTTCATGCTTAAGTGAACACTTTCACCTTGTTGAGCCAGAGGCAGTGGTTGAGGTATTTATCTTTATTGTATTCTCAAAGTCATTCATGTCCTACTATGTTTACACTGTGTGAAAGTTTAAAAATCATAGGAAGTTAGGAATGAATATTTCATTTATTCATTTATATCCAATCTCTGTGTACAGACCGGAAACCAGTATCATCTTCATGTCTTAAGTAGTAACCTAGCCTACTTACAGAATAGAACCCTTTTCCAAACACACACCAACACATGTATAACTATCATTATTTTGCAGGTACATGTGAGGTTTTTCTTATGATGAGCAAAGCTTCATCATTAATACACAGTTTATTACACATGAATATTCACACTGCATTTTGAGTCAATCAAAAACAACAACAATGATATATCACTTCAATCAGAAATAAGTGAAAGAAATTTGCTATTTTCTTTGCTTTTATAAAGATTCCTTGAAAATGTTACCCCTATAAAAAATATGAAAATATGTGAGAATGAGACATGTGTCACCTGGGGCAAAGCAGTCTACATTAGCAGTATTTACTCATTGATGATATCACACAATAACGCCTACATACTTCTATTACTATGACAACCAGTAAATTCTCCAGAAAACAATTCTTTCAAAGAATCAAAATATGACAAAGAGTCTTAATCATCTAAATTTTTCATTTGATATTGTCAAACTATTTGTCAGGTTCAGCATATAACATCCAAGAAGTGTACAGACTTCAGAGTTTGTACGTAAACTACAATGTATCTGTAATATGTTCTGCTGCCCTGCCATTAAACACCTACAGTCTATAATTATATCATTACAGCTTGGAATGGGAATACTCCTGACCAAAGCAAATACATACACCCTACTAACTGAATTGAAAAAATATGTGAAGAAGATAATTTGCCTTCGAAACCTTTTCCTCATTGTTTGACTTTCATCAAGGACATGTTGAAAGGAAATAACATCAAAAGCGCAATAAATTAATGATCCGCCTAGATTGATGTAAAAAGGAACAAATTTTGCTATGCAATGTAGGCTTTGGATGTTGCTCTATTCACAGGTTCCTGTGGAGTGCCCGTCCTGCTTTTAAACAAAATGATGTAACAATGAGCTTTATTGTTGTTTGTTGTGTGACAACCTGTGTTGTTTGTGTGCAACACAGATGGTATTCCGCAGCCAACATTCCCCTGAACAGCCCTACAGTAGGAGCTCCTCATACTCCCAGTATCTCAATCTCACCTCTGTAAACACATTTACAACAGGTGCTTGCTTCCATCAAAAATATTCAAATCATTTATACCCAAAAGACATCAGTTCGGATTTATACATGCAACAGTATGAGCTATAAATAATAACTATCTTAGCCTATTGTACAAAATCAAAACACTTCGCCATTCCAGTCCAAAATTGTTAATTTTTTAATTTATTTGATATCAAGTTTGGCCAAACAAATTCTGCTACCAATTTATACATGTCAATTTGCATTAAGATTGCAAACACGTTGGGGACATTTTCATGTGGTCAACAGTTGAAAATACTAACAATTTTGTTGATACACCAGAACCCTTCGTCTGAGATATTCACTGAAAACACAGGAAAAGTATGATTTATGAAGAATGTTCCCAAGAAATTATTGCTGCTATTTCTTTGTTTGCAGACCAATAACAGAAGTCCTTGACAGACCCCTTATGTTCTAGGTTCTCTCTGCGGGCAAATATTAACACAGAATCCCCCCCCAAATATCAAGTGTCAAATTTCTAACTTGTGGCCACATGACCAGCATGTTTTAGCACTGTCACCAAGTACAAGTCAAATTGGTTACCAATATAAGTAAGCTAGTCTACATTACTGTAGCAGTACTAAGAAGGCAAACTACAAGGCAGTAACATTCCTGTTGCATCCAGTTGGAGCAGTATGCGTGTGTAATAGGGCTGTGGTGAGTTAACAAAGGGAGGACAAATACGCTAAACTGATGGACAAATACAGCTAAACAAAACTTCAAACACTGCCAAGACCACATCTGTAACAGCTCCATACATGACACACACACACACACAGATGTGGACATCAGCTGGCCAGGAAAAAATAACCTGCACTATACAACATGAACACATCAAGCAAAATTCAATTTTTTTAATTCGAAATTGGATGATCTTGAATGTTTTGAAAATTCATGAATTGTCTGGAAGAAAAATCTGATACAATATATCATCAGTTAACATTTAGTGTAGCATCAGAGAAAATATCCTTTATGATATTGATATAGAACATGTTTAAGAAGAAATTTCAAAGTCTTGTATGATAATTAACAAAGAAATTAGTTATTCCAAAAAGCAAGAAAATGGTTCAACAAACAAAATAAATCTGTGTTAAAGCACAGAACAACTGGTCTTAGCCCTTCCTGACTTTTAGTCGTCATATGAGTGAAATATTCTCAAGCACGACGTTAAACCCATTTTCACCTCACCTCACCTTCCTGACTTTTACGCAGAAGATAATTCAAACTTGTGGTTGATAGTATGAGCTCCCCACCTTGGAGGTACAGTAACACACATTCTGTTAGGTCATACAATATAACCATCAAATACAAATTTCAGTTGGCTCTAAAGTCACTTGGTACATTACATATTCTGCTTTAAAATCACTATGCTGAAGTCAGCATTGGAAAATGTATACTGATGGAACAAAAAACAGGTGAAGACACTGTAATTGCTTTGAAAGTCTAAAAAAGCAGTTTATCTGATGATGAAACTTATGAATTGATTTCAACAATCAGTCAAGTGCAAGAAACACTTCCTCAGTTATTCAGATATATGTGAAACTTTCAACACAATTCCAACATGGTTCTTGACACAACACTATGGGTTCTGTGAGCTCAAACATGACCTCAATAACCTACGTGTTAGGTAATGCCTCTCTTACAAACATAAAACATTATTCTGTTCCAGAAACAAACAATATTCAGCTTAGAAGTCGATACATCCTGTGTATACAATTCAAGTGAAACATTGTTGTCGTCCCATAATATACTTGTACAACATAGGCTCAGTAAAAGAGGTTGGAATCAGCTCTATGTGTAGTCAGGTTCACCTTCAAGTAATTATGGTTCCAACTACTCACACAACACTACTACTACATGACACTGTACTAGATTGTTTAAATACTCAAATTAAGGTTAAGAAATTGCATTTACTTCTTGACAAGGATGATTTTATGTATTCTTAGTTTCATCTTAATTCTTTGGTCTGATCTACATTAAACAAATTTTCCAATTTGGAAGTTAAGGACTTTCAATATTGTTTTATGAAAGTAATGCTGCTATCGAAATACTGATGTTTCTAATTCATGGTTATGCTATTAGTACATGTATTTTGGTAAGACATAGCTTTGACCACATGTCCATGATTGTGATATGATACAACTTGGTTGTGACTGTGTGTTTTAGCCCATGTTAGCAATAATGTGTCATATGGTATCAAATGGTGAGACACTGGTACTTCATGGTTGTAATACTGTGTAATATGGTACTAAATGTTCAGGAAACTGTGTCATAGAATTATTCATTTGCTGCTGCATGCACATAATGTGCTCCAGTTGGACAAGATAACAGTGGAGATAGAAAGAACAAGATGCATATCATACTTACACCTTGCACCTCGCAGCACAAAGCCGAAGCCTTCAGGGCCTTTGTGTAGCACCACTCTCTTCGGGGCATACTCACTGAAACAAACAACAAACAGCATAAAATGTAGGATAAACAAACATCTTCATCTAATCATATTATCATCATTACATTTCAGTTACTTTGATCTTATATAAAGCTTGAGAAGAAGCTTGAGAACAAGTGGAAAGTTTCTTGGGTGGTTATTATCATATCACAGCTTTACAGTTACACCTTGTATGATCACACCAAATGTGCATATGAAGTCTTTGTCAAAGCTCTTAGGATAGACCTGGGTCTTGCAGGAATAAATCCATGACTGAGAACTACAAAAGTACCCATTTCTGCCAAAAAACGGTCAACATACATTGCCCTCAAACTCAGCCACACTCAGGCACAAAAACAATGATATTGGTTATTGATACCCCATTAAGTGTTCAGTGAAAGAACACTACTGCCTCACATGGACAAACAGGAACACTATTACAAGGGTATTAAACAGGATGTAGTTTCAGTTTGAAAACGGACCCTATTGCAGTTGATGATGATCATGTGAAAGCCACAAGGATGTCTCATGGATTATGAGATAAGATCATTTTGTTACACAACTTTGAAACACTGACAAGGAAATGAACACAAACAGGTGTTAGTGGTTATAGGTGCTGTGAAATAATTTCATTTTTTTCATCAATATTGCAACATTTGTGTCATTAAATTCAACTTCTCAACATGTGAGTAGGAGGACTGACAAGAAACTTCCACATTGTTAGGCAAATCAGTTTACTAACACACCCATCAAGTGTCAGGTTATTCCCAGTACACATCTTAACCTACAAACTACCATCATCATGTGACTCCTGAGACAGCATAATTAGTTAGATGTTTTGTCATGTGTGTTGACCGAAGCAAATAAGAGGGGAGTGCTCCCTGGCATGTCTGGATGATGATGCTTGTATCACCATACTGCATCATCCTACTCATACCTGTTTATCCACCACACTCAAAGTTCAAGTGTTCATTATTAAACAATGGAGTTTTCCACATATGGTAAATCTGATGACTGAATCAATCCTGCTGCCGATATTGTGATTTGGGGTAGAAATGAGATTTATGGACTGGGATGCAAGTTGAATTAGCATTCACTTTTTCTCTCTTCTTTACTTCAGTGTTGAATTATTTAGCTGTGAATACACTCTCACCCCTGCCCCATATATCTTGACTTAATCTCCTTTTCTCACAACTACCTATGTATGTCAGCAGATAGTTATGTAGAAAGAAGATATGTGTAGGTAAATACTATTTATAGATACAGGATCATATAAGGCAATCCTTTGTTTAACCCTTTCAGTATAAGTGACCAGGTCATGTGTCAATAAGGGATACATATATCACATCTGATCTCTGAATCCACTTTGATGAAAACCCCATAGTTGCTTGATCTGAAGGTATGAATTGTGGCTTTAACATCCAACCATATTTATGAGTGCAACATCACCTCCTGTGGAGTTCAAGAAAACATTTGTCCGCTAATCTTACTGACAAAAAATATCACCTGACAGAAGCAATTTATTACATATATTAATGAAACATGACAGTACTATATTAGAGATCCATTTATTATTTGACAGCCTACTGAGTGAATGAATGTCCAAACCTAAGCTTACACTCTCCTACACCTTACAACCTGCCAATATCAATGAAAAGAGAACAGTTGACATTTTCCCAGCCCAGCCACAGTGTGGGCGAAACTATTCTTCTCTGCAAAATGGTTGACATTTTTAATCAACCAAGACACAATTTACTAATGGTGTATTTTCTGGTAATGGAACAATTTAACTCATTGTGTCTAGTCCTGGAAAATGTGTCAATATATTGATTATTCATATTGTCTGTCACACTTATATATAGCTAATACCACTGTGATATTAACAATTAAAATATGGACACATCTCAGTTCTTGTCATGGGTAATTTGTAGGTACATAACTAGACACATACAGTAATATCAGGTCTGGCAAACAAGTAACTGGCCATTTGTAGGCCATGTACAAGTACACCAATCTAGAAGCCTACTTCGAGGATGAAGCCAAAGGGTTGTAGGTGATGAGGGTAGCCTGCACCTTGTACCCAACTCTCCTTGGGGACCTCTGAAATACTGAGCCAGTGTTGCCCATAATGTCCTGGTGTCCTCACACATGGAGATTTCCAGGACTACATTTCTACTTGTGTCATATATACCTGACTGGCTTATCTTTCATATTGGGTCAACTGGGACATATGACTTTTGCTGGTGTCTTGCCAGAAAAAGAAATGTTTGTTTAAAAGATTACAGTGCAGAATGAGTAATGCTCTTATCTTATTGTGAATATTATTATATCTTTATAAGAATACAAATAAATGATTTTGTCTGAAATGAATACTATCATGGGTAATTATGATTGTGCAGACTATAAATAACTAATGAAATATACTGCATCTGGTGTTGAAATCATTCAGCCAACAATACAAGATGGGTTATTTTGGTAAGAAGTATAAGCCATGACATATTTTATCTTAAGTGTCATGAAGCGAGAAACCAGTGAAAGTTCAATAAGCTACACTAATGCAATTTGTTCCCATGTGATCTATTTTTTTGTTCTACATGAATCAGATTTGCTTCATAAAAAGCACTTTCACAGCATTTTCAATTACAGTGAACAAAGAATGGCATTTAAGCAGCCATGACAACAACAGCATATTAAACCAACCAACAGACTGTGTGGGATTCTCAGAAATATTAAACAGGGTATGATGGTCATAATGATTATATTGGTCTAGAACACAGATACGCTGTGAATTATTCAATCAATGTTCTCTGAAACTGGACTAATCATTCTAAATGTTTCCATCTGAATGTGACTGATCATGTGACACAACATGGGCATGTGATTGGTGGAGCTGCCAGGACAGACAGACTGAGAAAACTCTACACGGAGTAGACACTAAAGTGGACCACAGAAGCTGGCCCAAGCGTTTGGACATATACTTTTGGCAAGTAGTTGCTGAAAACTTGTTTAACAGCTGTCCATATTACTTGATAGAAGATTCATTATTCAACATGAAAAAAAAAACACATTAATAAATACTTGCATTAACATAATAGCAATAATGTAATGAGAGCATTTACATATGATATACTTAAGATCATTGTTATTGGAAACAGGGAACATTAGACTACAAATCAAGCTAATCATCAATTATTGTCAATGAAGAAGTGCGTACATAGGTAAATTGTAACATATGGGTTATGTGAGAAATGTTAGAGAAGAAACACATACATGACCCCCAACCTTACATCCTGACTAGAGTCCATTTACAGAGAAAAACGTTGCATAGAATCCTGCTCCAAGATATAAGTTATCAACACAACATCCCACAACTAGAAGCTGTTACCAAATGACTTCATCCTCAGGCAAAACAAACTTCAGATGTTTCAAAAATGAAATTGTTTGGCCAGTAGCTACTAAAATGTTTGATTGATCATACTGTCAGGCAAACTGCCCTGCCTTGAGTTTGGTATCCCCTCGAAGCTTAACTCACAATATGAACACCAAGATATCAGACTTTCTGATATTTCCAAAAGACATATATATCACGAGATAAAACTTAAAGAATGTGTGCAGGAGTTAAAATATATACTATATAATAATAATAATAATAATAGTCCATTTATATTGCGCGTTTATCCATGCACATTGCATGCTCAAAGCTGACATAATACTAGTAAAACATTTACAACTGCTCGACTTAAAAGTTGAACTTAATCATTTCATAGTTGTGTAGTTCATGTTTACTGTCACACCTTTGCATGGTGAGGCTCAAAACTGAAAATCATGTTTATGTGAGTTCCTGTGAAGTGATTATAATCATATATAACTTGTCATGGAACATAGGTTTGTCTTCTGATGATATTACAGATTATCAGTGTCTTACAAGAGGTAGGTCCTCCTATCAGATAGTATGCATGGACAGAGATGTGTTACTACATCGTAAGGTTGCGTTTCTTGTATTTTCATTCAATTTCACCATGTTTTGCCATGAGGGTAATCTTCTTCACCTTGTTATCTTTTAGATTTTGGTAAAAAAAATCTGGATATATTTTATTTGGTAATTAAGGGATATAATTGTTTAATATCAAAAGTTATTCAAATATTTACTGCTTTATATCTAGATTTTATGACTGGGTGGGTCTGGTTTTACTTTTTTTTTTTACCCTGGATGTCAAATTAATTTTCAGATGTATCCTGATTACTAATGTAAGTGTCCCCTTGAGATGGCTGGTAAAGGTTACACATTCATGTTCTATATTCTGAGCTATCATCTGAGATGTCATTAATCATATCTGTTCAGTAAGCCAAGCAGTTAGCAAAGAAGGAAGGCTTCCTTGATATCCAGTGCAAATACTGCCATTGATAATATTATCTGGGAACAAATTTCAGATTGATTTTCTGAAACAGTTGATATCAATACTTCCCAGAATGACAGACTTCCTTTTCCTGACGCCGGACATTATTCAGATGACATTAATCAGGATAATTGACACAATTCATTAATGCCTGCCTGCCTAATCAAAGTGTTGTATCTTCCCTGATTATCAATGAAGCTAAAAATATAAGTCAACTTATATTCAGTGGATAGGGGTTTAAAGAAGAAATGAGAGACAGCAATGATTTAACAATTAACTAATACAACTCTCTGGGTGTAATAGGTTAATGAGCCAAAACACTGCTAGCATACATTGTATCAATATATCTGACTGTCCCTAAGGAAAATTGAATATTATCCTTCTGGCCTCAGAAGCATATAACTGAGGCAAACTGGCTTCAGGGCTAGCAGCTAGAGCTTGCATAATAACTCAATTTTATTCCTTGCCCAAGGGTACATGTATTCCTTGTCACTACATTTAAAGTCTCATAACAAACTTTAAACACATCTCTTCCATGAGAAATTCTTAGAGTTCAAATCAATTAAAAATCTCTAAGTGATGTCAATAACATCCCTAATGATTTCTTACATCATTA